TAGTATTCAACCTAACCATGGCAAAAGTTAGATTCGCTTTAAACCAGCATTTGGGACCTCGCAACCCACTACAACACAAAAGAAAACTTAAATTGAAAATGCCAGCTTGGGTTTCTCCTACCCGACTTATTTAACAGCAGAAAAGAAAAGGAAAAGAAAACAGAAAGAAGTTGGAAAAAAGGATCAAAGAATTCTTGTGTGTGAAAACTTTCTTTTTCTTTTTTACTCTTTTCGGTGAACATGTTTATGATTGTTTGATTCTTGCTGCAACTAATGCTTAACAGAGAGAATATCAAATGATTAGCCATGATTGGGACATTTTTTTTGTACACCTGATTCCTTAATTAAAAGGTTTAATACTAGACAGAAACTCAAATACAAGAGAATGAACACGTTCTTAGTTTTCACAACTATACTAAGAATATTATTATACATGTGAAGAAAGATGTTGGAAAAAGGAAACCAATATCATTTAGTCACACAAACAACATTACAGATGAAATCAGCTTTGACCTTACGTAACCTGATAACAGATTCATAAGTGGAAACAATAAATTAACACGAAAGGAAAGGACTTGATCCAAATCTTCCAGAGGATCTGAATAGGATGCTCAACATTTTCTCCTTCATCGTCTTTTTGCTTTAGGAAGTTCCTTTGCATCTGTAAAAGTGCGAAGCATCACAGGAATAACTAGGCTTGTAAGGAACAATAAAAGAGGAGCTCTTTTTTTTTTGGGGGGTGTACATGGATACAGAAGAGATACAGGTCAGCCAACACAGGAAATAAAGGCACAGAAAATCCTGTGAGGTCAATTTTTGAGATGGAAGTGGAAAGGTACAAGATTATTAGCTGATGTTGGTCCCACCTGGGAGGGGCGGGGCTCTCGTACGGTACGAGTAAACATTTTTGGTTCAAGCATGGAACCCGCTTTAATATTTACTACTACATTGTGAGTCAGCTTTATGTCTGTTGGCCGTTGATCAGGGTTCAGTCACCGGATGGCTCCACCTAGGAGAACCACCCCAAATATTAAAAAAACTGTAGATTGCTATGAATCACAAGTTCAACCATCTACCAACCAAAATATAAATAGATGATGGGATGTGTGATGTATCGATTTCTTGATATCTTTTGCATGATTGAACATGTGAAAACATCAGTAACTCCCGAATGCAACTCCATGAATAAATTTAGCCGTTGGAACTTAATTAGAATTTTCTAAGAAAAGATCTGATTATGTGACAGAGAAAGCTGTCACATGGAACCCGATCTTCTTTCTAGTTTTTTGTTTTTTGAAAATGTACGCCTTTGTTCAAATTTGCGGACTCTGGCTGCAAATAAGATGCAAGTGGAATGGAAATATCATATGATGTGTGATTCTATAAAATACTGAACTGAAATATGTGATGTAAGTGAACACTTAAACTATGGGCTTCAGAATTAATTGTTTAGAAGGTTCAGAATAAATTTTCTCAGTGCACCTGAAAACTAGTGCATGACAGCTGGAATATGCTGTCGGGATGACAGTTAGTGATGTGGCACAAGTCACTGCCATCTCAGCCTAGCAAGTGAAGGAAAAACAGAACAAGCAGCAAGAATCAACAATATTGACATCATTTGCCCCCACAGGCCACAGTATGCTAAAATTATAAGCTTTATATAATTGCGTATTTGGAAGTAGGAGGATAACAGGGTGTAGTTTAAGTTGTTCAACTCGACACCAAATTCAATCTGAGGAATAAGTATAATAGAAGAAAAACAAGCTTGCTAATCCAATTTCATATTGTAGCAAAACTCCAATCAAGAACATGGATGAACTTCATACTTAGTATGCTTGTATTGCAAGTAAAATTCTAATCAAGAGCATGGGGGAGGAGGAATCACTTATATTTCTCGTGCAGGCAAGACAAAACAAAGCGATGGCAGCCTGACCCAAACCTCAAACCCATGTGATAATCATAGTTAAGGTAACCATGCATGAGATAATTTCTCAAGCAAACAACATGAAGGGGAATACTATTTGCATCAGAAAAAAAAAAAAAGCTGGTCGCAATTAACACTTCCTAATTATTTTTCTCACCTAACTTAATCACCTAAGACAAAATAATAAAGAACACCGTTATTGGCCTTGAGCAGTGCATATGCAAAAGAAACTCTGCTAAACATAGATAACTGACAGCAGTGAAGGTCGGATGCTGTCTGCTAAAGTTACAGACCTCTAAACCGCTAGCCACCCTTGCAACCACTCTAGAGCATAATGAATCAAATTTGTGCAGCTTAGCTTCTATGGCAGGAATCTATGGAAGCTAGTCTAATGGCCTATTCATTCATAAAAGTTCACATGGCAATAGAGGAACTAAGTGACTGCTGGTATTTGGTGCCTTTAATAAACCTTAGCAAATGATACAAATTCTAGCCTTTCAGAATGTTACCTAAAGTGCAGCTCCCTGCATGTTCTGTGTCACTTTTTTGGCCATTGAAAACTTGATCATAATACGTAGGGGCATTTAACAGCAATAGGGGTTTTAACTACATTGATTTGTTTATGCTTTCAAGAGTTACAAGTTTTACATAAATGGCTAATTAACAATAATAAGCTATGACATTACACGGAGTTGAGTTGGAGGGCGAAAAGAAGCAAGGAGTTACTCTAGCAATAGGAGTTAGCTATGAACTTTGACTAACTTTTGTATTACAGAATTATAGCAGTTGGCGTTAAAGAACAGTCTTGGCATTAACAACTGCCATAATTTGTAAGCATCAGAAACATTCTAACTCACAGATAACTTTTACAGTAGCATCTGAATTTACTTGTAAGTTGCGGCATGTCATAGCTGAACCAGTACATCTGTAGAACAAGCAAGTATAATGGGAAATACAGGATGGAAGCATGCTGTCGATACATTGTGCATGGGTATGTTATTCAGGTTTCTGAAGTGTGAACAGAACCCATAAATTTGTAGTTCCACAACTGTATACTTGAACATATAGGATGCCAATATGCGAACCCTATGATACTAAGAAGTTTTCCATGCCGTCCTGGTATTTACTTTAACCAGTTATTGTATGGTTTATTAACATCATCTTAGTAATCAACACATTTCATTCATTTCAAGATGGTCTCTAATGAAAATTTTGGGTCAGGAAAATCATGATTCCATATCTGCAAAAAGAATGTCTTGTAAAATCACGCATAAAAGAAGAGTGCCTTCCTAGTTAAAAGTTAATAGGTCACTGATGACCATTTGCAGTTACACTATTACTGTAAGATCAAGAAAGGCAATTGCAAAGGTGTTGTTTTACTTAAAGACTAAAAGTTACTTTGCAGCATAAGGTGAGAATGGCCCTAAAGATTCCGAATCCAATCTTAATTGTAGTCCTAAAACTTGATGACTACATGAGCAGTTGAATACGTTATCAGAGTGTGTGAAAATACATTTGGAAGTGTTGGATGGACAACCAAATCTTCAAGGCTCTGTATTTAAGTCAAAAACTTTGCCAGAAACTTGTTATTGGCTTCGGCAACTGCTTACTGTTTATATGCAAAAAGTTTGCTGACCAGTTTACAAACAGAAAATTAGGTGTCAAGCTAATTGCAGTGTGAAGAACAAATTATTAAATTAGAAGGAAGAAGGGTACATAGCCATCATGGCCTCAAGAATTTGCTCAGAAGTAGATAGAAACATTTAGTCAGCTCTATGTAGACTTTTACCTTTTCAATTGAATGGCAGCTGAAAGAATTCAAACACCAATGCGCTGACAAGAATGGAAGTTGCAATAAAATTTCAATGAAAACATCTATGAAATTTATCACAAGTAGGAATTCAACCAGAAACATTATATTGAATGGAAAGATCAGCCAATAATCATTAAAAATTCAGCATTAATAAGACATTGTCCAATAGATTATAATCTAATTTTTGTTTCTAGTTCAATAGTAAGTAGAAACTTTTCTAGCTACAAGAGAACTCTTCATTGTCTAATCTAGCAGCCATGTCACATGGCTAATTTTCTGATCACCTTTTTGTCCAAGCCACACACAGTTGGCACCAGTTCAGATAAAAGTATCATCTTTAATTCTCGTCTTCTCAAGTAGTTATAATTCAATGGCAACAATTAATCATCCTTATGCATTGGGTATGTTATGATGCTTTTGTGTCTTTAACTGATTCAATAATCTCCTCTGTTTTCTGATAGATGTGAAAGATCAAGGTTTTGACAAACCACAGCCGAGTAAATCACATGCTGTCTAAATTGGTAAAGTGCATCAAACTTGACATGTTAGCCAGATCTATCACATAGTGCTGTGGGTTTCATTCTGAATCAAATTTTCAATCTACAAACATTGCTTCTACTAAATTTATGTCTTTTTAGTTACCTTTCTTGCATTCGTCTGATATGAATAGCCTTGCCTTATTCTCACGGTGCTACGACATTTTCAGACACTAATTCATACACTAAGACTGCCAGGTGATCTCAAGGGCCAGGCCGAATAGTGATCTTGTCCTCAAAATTGATTATTACATGTCAGTGTATCAATCAAATTCTTTCATATATAATGCAGATAATGCCTGTCAGAAGAAGTGAGGAACCTGCAAATATCATTTCATTTTTCAAAGGAAAAAACTGAACGGTTATTGCTGTTAAGGCCAAACTGAACTTCAAATGATTAAGGTTAATAAAGACGAAAAGATTCCATTAAAGTGGTTGATTTTCATACCATTCTCCACTTTAAGAGTAGTTAATACGCCACTGGGTCAGTGGGTGGAGGATAAAAGATTTGAATAGGAATGATATTTTCCAGTTTTAACTGTTCTTCTTTTAATTTATTTTTTCAAAAAGAATTAACTCATTATAATTAGTCAAGATGGTGAATTTCCAGATTGGTCAAAGAAATGACTGCAGAGAAGCTTTTAGAGAGAAGAAGATGCACGGCTTGGTGAAGACATTGATAATCATAGTTGGAGAATTTGGGTAAAAATGAAAAAAACTTGCTATTATTAAAAGAAAGGATCTGGTTGATCTTTATTAGCACGGTACATTTACATGAGCTACATCCTCTAACTCAAAAATATGATCAAATTACAAGCTGAAGAGACGGAAAAACGTGAAAAAGAAGAAGAGGGAGATACAAAAATGATCATATTCATTTAACAGAGGATTGTCTCTTGAATCTCTCATCATTTACATACCAACAACTTGGCCTACTTCAATCACACTAGCATGAGAGAAATTCACGAGATAATCCTCTGTTAAATGAATATGGCACCTTTTTCTTTGTTTTCCCCGCCAGTAAACAGAAAAAAACATAACTGCATCCTCATATCATTAACCCCTTTTTTGTCGAAATCGGGACCTGGAAAACTGCCATGGATTTATGCAGCTAATCGATGATTAATAGGCATAAAACCAGTATATTTTAAGCAGCGTCTTCATTGTTTGAGGATCCTTCCGTTTCTTTCACATTACTACCAAGTGAAAATTGACGGCTTTGGATTGCATCTTCAACAGACAAGAAGAAAGATTCCTTGCCAATGGCATCTACGAATTTCGCTAATGTCATTTTCTCTAGAACTTCAATCCTGGGGTTTATTATTGCTAACTGCACAAGATGTTTAAACGTATATTTTTAGTTTCTTTCTTACTTAAAACACCAGGCTTCAATGAAAAGGGAACATCTTTCAGTTTACCTTGATATGCTTTCCTTCCAAGATTCTACGTAGTTCGGTAAATGTTTCAATCCCTGTCACGTCAATGGATGAAACTCCTGCAAACCGCCATAGTCTAATGTTTCAGTCGAAATTGATGAGTATGGACGGTTGTTACTGTTATATGTATTTTAACTTCTTCTTAAAATGAAATTAAAAATAGGCTCTACCAAAATCAAACTCTGGTGGCTAGAGGATGTTTATACTGAATTGTATTTGGCACTACAAGATTAGTCAGTGTTGGCAAGTGGTATAATTGGTGGTGGATTTTGTGAGAAAATGTTCATTACCTGATAAGTCCAGTAAAAGATGCTCAATAACATCACTTTTAGAATCTGAAATGCCTTGTTCCTCCTGAATATATCTCAGAATCCTGCTCAAAATTTGGCCAAAACAAATTAGAAATTTCCATGGTTGACCATATTCTTTGTGGTACTAATTACTTAAATGTTCTAATTTGTGTTACATTTTTTTTTTCCATGAAGATATACCTTTCTTTTATATAGGAGCAATTTGCAAAATAAATTGGGGAACCAAGTTGAAGAACAAGAATTCCTTGCATCGTTGTTGAACCCGGATATTGCTCTGTGTCTCGGTACAAATATGAGTTTGGAATTTTTCCTAGCTTACAGGAAGCGGGCCTTGCCACGTACAAAAGTGCTCTTAGTAAAGCAAGTCCCACCTAAAATAACGGATAATATTTCAGTTAAGAAAGCAGAAACAGGAATATTGTCCATTCAATTCTTCTTCTGGTAGCTTATCAAAAATTTAAAATTTTTTTTGAAGAAATCCTTACAGAAAGCATGAGCCCGACGTCCATGCTTATGAAACTAACACCAAGGAAGGCCGCCATGCAGATGCAAAAATCGAATTTGTCAACTTTAAAGAGGTGAATCATCTCCTCGTAGTTGATTAATCCAAACATTGCAGACATGATAATAGCAGATAGGGCTACCAGAGGTGTATAACTGAAGAGAGGAGCCAAGAACAGCAGTGTTAACATCATGCAAAATCCCATGACTACATTGGACATTGCTGTCCTGCACCCAGCGTTGAAGTTCACAGCTGTTTTTGAGAATGGCCCTGTTGATCAAAACCTCAGGAAAAATCAGAATCTTATATTACTTCATAAATCGTTTAAAGAAAAAGATTAAATTATGGCCTTTTTTTATTTCTTTAGAAAACCCTGAAGCATCATATACCTGTTGTCAAGTAGCACGAAGTGAAAGATCCAATAATGTTCATGAAACCAAAGGCTATCATTTCCTTGTTCCCATCAGTTTGGTCATTTTGCATTATGGCGAAGCTCCGTCCTATTGCTATCCCTTCCTGTAAGTTTCAATTCGAAGATAATTAATTTTAGGGGGCAATGGCGGTGAAGTGATACTAAAGCATCAGTTGGGTTCTCCAGGTGAGGATTTTTTCGTGGTTGGTTGGTGAAATTTCATGGGATGAGTTTCGAGTCAGGTTGTGGGTTGCTTCCGGATTGAATGGGATTTTGGAGGGAACTGATAGGTTAGATACTCATTAATTGGGTGAGAAATTGCTCTTGGGCACTGAATCAATGAAGATAGAGGAGGAAATTATGAGGTAAATAGTCTCTGCGTCGTTTTGCTTTATGTTTAAGAGATTGCTATTTTATGGGACTGTATCTGTCTTGAATTTGTTAAGTGTAGTGGTAACCCAGTGATTTCAACGTTACCACGAAAGTGTGATAAGGTGTTTTGATTGTATGAGGAGTTCGGTACCCGGTTGGCATGAAGAGTGTTATAGCGTGACAGGTACTCTGTTTGGATAAAAGAGGATGCTGATATTTTATCTACTTGAAGGAACAAGCAGAAAATTACTGAAATTCTTACTGCCTTGGCCTATTTTCTGGGTGTACCACTGCCAGGAAATTTAGTGGTGCTGTCTTTTGAATATGTTTTTGGGTGCGGACAGGGTGTTTGGTGAAGGACAGGTGACATGGTGACTCTAGGCTGATCAGTGAGTGTATAAGAGCATATCTTATGAGTGTTTTTTGGCTATCTATTTTGTCTTTTGAGCATGTAAATTCCTGTTGGTACTGTTACAGGGTGGGTACTTTTTTGTAGAGGGCTGAGTAAGGATGATGATGTACAGGCAACTTGACATGGGTTGATATTTTGTCTCCATATGGAGGATTACAAATTGAAGGTAACCCCCATTTATTAATGAAAAACCATGGCTTATCAAAAAAGAGAGGGGAGAAGGAGGAAGACAAAGCAGGAGGAGAAAAGAGGGAGGAAATAGTGAACGACTCTCTCATTGATAGTGATATGATAAAGATGGATAAAATGATAAGGAAGAAGGCGGCCAGAAGGGCTATGGAACACCGTTGGAGGTTAGGCGAATAGCGTGGATTCTGTGGGTGGGAAGTATTTAGGTGGAAAATAAGAAATATGTGGCGAGAGGAGACGGCGGTATACAGTTTTACTTCTAGAAGTACATATGGTGCTGATTTGGGGAGGGTGAGACCTCGTCAATAAGTCAAATCAATGATAATTGGTATAGAAACATAAAAGGAAAAAGTTGGGATTCTTACAGCCATTGCAATAAGCCCAGTGACAAGACCAGCCCGCACAGTTACTGGAAGATAGCGGCGATCGAAGTTCAAATATTGAATAGAGGGAGGATTTAGTCCCTTCTTCAAGTCACCAACCTAAAACAAAAAATGAAAAAAAAAAACAATAAATAGCTGGAAATCAGAAGAATGATTGCCTATAAGATCAAGAGGATGTGATCTCAAAAGAGAAAGTGAAGAAAATAATTAAGAAAAATTGAAAAATCAACTACAAAATAAACTCACAATTTGGATTCCATGTTTCTCTGCGTGGGCAAAAAATGCAAAAAGACAACCAACCACAACAACGACCATTGGAGCCATAGCTGATACCCAAAATAGCTTTGGTTTTCTTTGCCTCTGTGCATGCCAAAAACATAGTAATATATTACTTCTCTACCATATTCGTAGATAATACTAGTAAATAATATACCCAAAAATAACACTAAATAATTTTAATAACTAAAAAACAATCAACACAGCCCCACTCCCAAATATGTGTGTATGATCTTTGGGCAAAAATGGACGCAGGAATTGCTGTCTTCATCAATAAAAATCAATAAGCATCATATTTTTAAGATTTATTTATGATTTATATACTGTTTTTAGTATGGATAATTATGAATCTGCAAATAACCGTGCATGGGTTCAAGAACAATTAACTGTGTATTGCCTATGCATACAGACAAAAAGGGTGATGGGAGAGAATTTTTTTTTAAAAAAAATGAATAAGTTGCTTTTCTCAGTGAATTCACATTAAATCCGTTTTAATAGTCAATGGAAAGGTCAAACATGGTCACCTATATTTTTGTTTGGAACTGTAGTTGTCATGACAGTTATGATTTGCTATTAATGTGCTATGCTATAAATGTTATCCACTTGTTTTTGGCGTAACTATGGCAAAATATGCATGACATCACAGCTAATCCTTAACGGTGACAACCTCACTCGTGTGAGAAAAAAGTCTTCTTTTATTTATTTTTTTCCATATAGACAAAGTGAAATTTAAGGAAAAATTAGGCAAAATTTATACCTTAAAACGGAATTGAGTCCAAAAATTTGTTGTTGCTATTTTCCTATAGGCAATGGGTAAGAGGAGAGAAAGCTCACCAGGTATCGAGTGAATTGGAGGAAACAAAGGAAGATTATACCCACAACAGCACTCTGCCACCTCCACTGCGTGCAGAAACAAGAAATTTGTTGCAATTTCAAGATTAGAATTTTAAGCGATTATTCTATGAATAGCACGACAGGGTGATCAGTAGTTAAGACGTTTATATTGTTTTTCTTTTCCCTGACAAACCTCTTTTCTGTTGCTGAAAATTGTATGCAGAACCGAAACCACATCAGTGTGAGTTGTGAAATGCTTTAAACCAAAGACGCCCTTCAATTGTTGCAGGCAAATTATGATGGCAGTCCCTCCCATGAAACCAGTGATTGTAGAATGTGATAAGAAATCCACCAAAATTCCCAGCCTGAAACAGATGTGTAAAATAAGAAGGAAATAACTAAATGACTATAAATACAAACCCAAAGAATAATCTCGGAATGGTTATTGAAAAATGCATAAATTATTTATATATATCGCTGACCTCAAAAAGCCTAAAGCTGTCTGGAAAATTCCGGTGAAGAAAGTGGCTGTGTAAACTAAGTGAAGATACAATGTGGGATCATCTTTTGGTGATACTTTGGCTCCAATGGTTTCAGATATAAGCAATGAGCATGCTGCCACTGTTCCCACCGCAAGGTGCTTTGAACTCCCGAAGATGGCATAAACAAAAGGCGGTATAAAGCTCGAATCTGCAGCATATAATGTACATATTGATCCACCACATTTTCAGAGAAACGAAAACAATCTCATTAAACCAAACAGAACTTTTTCAGTGAAATTGGAAAAACAAGAAGAAGAAATAGTCCATATGTATTAATTAAGGAGCTTACAGAGGCCGATAATGGAAGGAAGATCACCGAGTTTTGCATAGCTGATTCCTTGAGGGATTGCAAGGCTAGTAATGGTGATACCAGCAAGCAAATCATATCTAAGCAACCTTAGATTGTATTTGGGTAACCACTCAAACAATGGGATGAAGTATTGGATTGCCTTCTTGGCTCTAACCAAAGGCTTGCCATCCTTTAACTTACGAAACGGATCGTCAGGGAAGAAGGTTTCTTTGCAATCAGATTTGAAGGTAGTCGAAAACCCTCTCGGGGTAGAGAAATTCACCGTATGGGTGGAATTCGTCATAGCTATAGCAAGAGAGTAGGAGATTGAGACAGAAGAGGAAGAATCAAGAGAGCGGAGATAGTGGGGGTTAAGGAAAGAGGGGTGTAACTGGCCCTTATATAGAAGTCACCCAGTAACAAAATAGTGGAGAACAACGCAAATTTGACAAAGATTGGATAAAGTCTTTTGACGGGTGATTCCGATAACGTTATTGAAGGAAAAACAAAATTTCAGAGCTGACACGATGCTACTGGTTATCTAAACAATTTGGTGGCGTTTGGTACAATTGCTTTCTTTGTAAACTTTTACTTGTATCACAATTTTTTTTTCTTTTTTGAGTGGCTGCTTGTATTACAAATTATCCGCAATTCTTTGATAAAGCTTACATAATTTATCTATAAAAAAAAAAAACTAATACTAATATAGATTTAACAAGCTTTACCCACGTTTACAGTTATTGTTTTACCAAAAAGTTACAGCTATAAATAATGGGCACAACAGTAAAAATATAAAAATAAAAATAAGAAAGAAATAGAAAGGATAAAAAAAGAAGGAAAAAAAAAAAAAACAGGTCTGTTTTAACTGTGTCTATGAGAGGAGGGATCGAAGTTACTGTTATGGCAACAGCCATCCAAGAAGCTTTATATAGGTTCGTGTTTAGTTGGGGGGCAAATTTTTTGTTTAAGCCTCACTTTAATAAAATTGAGTTTTATTCACACTTTTTTAGATGATATATTTTTTTGTATATTAAAACATTAAAAAGTACACTTATTTAAATTTTTAATTTTACTTTTTTCATATTTAGTAATAATATAAAAAAATATAGCTTTTATTAGTATATGTAATTTCTATGATTACATTTTACTTATATTACATTTAAAATTTTATATAGTGAAGTTATATCTACAAAATTATTTTAAAAAATATAAAAAAGTGTTATTAAAAATATTTTTAATAACATTTAAATATGTGCTATTTTAAGTTAAATATATTGTAATGCCCTTAGAGTGTACAGATGTGTCACGCATTTTCGACCCCTCTTTTGTATACTCGGACAGATAGTGTTAATAAATCAACATGTGACATATCATCTCTTAGAAAATTAATACTATTATCTAGTTGTGTATATATTCTTTTGACTATATAATTTCTACCAATGTGTTAGAATATGATTTTATTAGTTTTTCTTTTCTTTTCAATCTTCTGAAGTGTAAGCCACAGCCTTATGCTTTGGGATTTGAATCCAGAACATCCAAATTAAAATCTCTAATAATAATGTTAATAATGAAAATTAATAACAAATTATATGTCAACTAATAAAAATAATTAATTAGTTAAGAGGGTGCACATTTTTCTTTCATGTATAATTATTTTGAATACGATCAAGGTTTGCCCAAGTTCTACTTAAATCTAATCTCCCATTACATGGTCTTAAAAGTGCATTCCTCCGTATCGTCTTGATGTGTTTAGGATTTTTCCAAAACGATAGCTTTATTGTAAATAATTTTCATTATTTTCTATCTTTTGTCAATTTATTCCATCAAATTTGGCCACCTACAAAGGCAATGGTAGCTGTGTTGAGCCATTTTTTGCTGTATGTTGTATATTATGTGGATTAACACTATTTTTATGTGATCCCTATTATTAATATATTCAACTATTAAAAAATTTTACAATTTAAAATTTTACATGATAAGTGAGTAAAACGTAATTATAAGAGTAATCTTGATATACATATATAATAATAAAAAAAAGAAAATTAAAACGGCGGATGACGGTTGTTCCATGCATAAATAGACTTTTTTTTATTATTTTTTTCCAATTATTCTTGCGTGTGTGGCATTAATTTCAAACCTACAGTTAACAAAACCCCTGTACAAAGAACAGTTAGCATTCTTGATTTCGGAATGCTTCTCTCCATGTTTATATGCATGGTTTTGTCAAGATTAAACAAGATAAAAATAATGTCGTTATAACTTCCAAAAGAACAGTACTGGTGGTTGTTGCCATGCATCAAATTGCTTGTTTAATGAGGAGTCTCTCCCAGCTCCATGATTTCATTTGCTCACCTTTGAATGAGATCATGCTACAGAGATAGCGGCCGCTGCTAGTTGTCTGCGTACAAAGATTATGACAGTTAGAATCCGAAGCTTTCTGGGGGAGACAATGAGAGGGGGAGGGAAGTTGGAGGTTGTGTGATTGATAAGACTCGATATAAGTTCAAAGATTGCATAAACTTTTCCTCACATAGGTTTCTTATCATTTTTATTCCCCTTTTCAGTGTAATAAAGAAAATAAAAGAAATATGTCAAATTGCTTGAAAATTGAAATGCTTTCCAAGTCAATCAGACGTATTTTTCCCATTACCTTCGCAATAAATTCCAAAGTAGCACCTGTCATGGAAAGGTTTTTTTTTTTTTTTTCCAAATTAGTATACGAGAGATATTGAGGCCTGTTCATCGATTCTTTCTTTCTACTGTTAGTTATGGGGCGGTTTGAAAAATAAATAAATACTCTAGCTAGAAATTAGAAAAACAAATTACAAGGCATGATAAGGACCATATAAATTGGTTCCCCTTTTGATTAAGACAACTTATATGGCAATAATTGAAGACAATTAAACCAAGCATATTGAAGTGCTGGGAGAATATTTAATAATAATAATACTGAATCTACTCATGATTTAATGCAAAACAAATTGAGACAATATTAAAGAGAAATAAAACGAAGTCAATTCCATAGAGAGTAATTTCATGCATTCTTAAGCATGGACAGGTTTTTTGAACTCAAATTTTCTTAACAAAGTAGGGCAGCCCTTTCTAGATATGTACTAAATCCCATCGAAAGCATTTCTCTGGACCAGTTTAAACTCAACTTATAGAAAATATTAAACTTTGCCCATTGATTGATTATGATCATTCAACCATTAGCAAGGTGTCAACAAAACAGGCACGCGTCTCCTTTGATTAGACAGTCGCCCCTGTTTGACCCTATGAACACTGTCCCGACACTACAAAACCTGATCTGATTGATCCCCCCAGCCTGATATTGTAACATTAACGTAGAAACCCGCGTCGAATTGTTTAATTGAAATGGAATTTGATGATAGAATCTGATATGAGTTGAAAAGGAAAGATTGGAAACGTTTTGTTAGATTGGATTTGCACTTCCGGCCACGAATTATGAGTCATAGCCCTTAAAATAAACGTAATTTAGAAGTAGCTACTTTTCCTTCCACAGCCGTCAATTCTTTCTATATGAAACCTCCCTCAGATATCCATGGCACAAGGCTTCACCTGCTTCAAATGGCGATAATGTGCAACACATCAATGGACAATTAATGGATTGGAATTGGAGGGAGAAATCTATTCAAGTTTGAAACGTAAACTTTCTCTGTTTTTTATGTTTCTTGTGTAGTTTGGTGAGTTTGTGTGGGCTTCTTTTCACTCGCACACTAACTTTTCAACCATCATTTCAACAGCGTCAATCATTGCCCTGTGCCTCCCCAATGGGAATGGAATTTTTTTTTTTTAAATACATTAAAGAATGGAAAGCAAAATTGAGTGCGTTTTCCTGCATGTTACATCCTCCCATTATACGTTTTCAGGTTTTACAGATTGTTCCCAGAGTAAATTTCCAGGAAACATGAACTCTGGACGAAATGACATAGCAGCCCATCAATTATTTCAATATAAGTCAGTTTTCAGAAGAAATATGGAGTGACAATTACTTCTATTTTGTAGCTCCGTGGACCCCTAAACCCACATTGATGCTGCTTTAAGGTGAAAGCTTTTTCGCTTGTTCGACAGCAAGTGTTGGCTCCAGCTCTTCCTGGCATAAGCTACTTTGGAATCTTTTAATTACCAGTCATTTGATGGTGCTGTATTGAGCATATTCCCTCTTAATCAATGCAATACTTGTCACGTATATTCAAGATTGAGCCGATTTAATTTCATATTTAAATATAAATAAATGCTGGATCATTTCTTATTAACTACTTAAACTATAAAGGGTACAAAGCACCAACAGGATCAGCAACAGAATGAACAGTTCAAAACACAAGTTAGCAGCACAAGGTCTGCAGCAAAATTTCCACAAGATCTGCAGACCAATTCTCAGCTAACAGGATTTACAAATTCTTGTCTAATTGAATTCTAAGCCCTTCAGTTGTAACAAGCATTTGAGTTTGAATTATAGATAGCCATGTAACTTATATCTATATATATATATATATATATATATATATATACACATTCATTAGTGATCAATGAAAATTCTTGTAAATAAATGCACTTTCTTTTAAACATACATGAGCTTTTATTTTTTGCCGCAATCTTCTGCCACAAAAGATTCTTTGAATCTTCATTTTCTGACGCTGCTTACTATAAGGAAAAATTGCATATATACAAGATGGAGTCCCAGTGCAATGATAAGAAGCCTCGGAATCTTTCCATTTTCGTCGATGGACTACGATTTGCTTGGAAATAATAATGCTCTTCTGGGGGAAGAAGCAAAGATCAATAGATCATGATTCTAACGCGTGTTAAAACTAAATCATTAAAGAAAAATAATGAATGTTTTGCTCCACTAATCCTTGGATTAATTAGCTGGAACAAGAATAAATTAGACTTCAACGTCACCTCAGATTGTCAAAATGACTTCTCAAATTCAAGCCACTGCCACCCTGATTCTTGATTCCCCACTTTCTTTTCTCTCCTATTCTACACAGACCTTTCTCGAGACAAAACTGTTGCTTCCACTGCAGAAATTTTCCCTTACAAGATGCAGAAACAAATGGATCCCCGAGCGCCCCCTAAACCAACTTAACACCTCAAATATGTGGAATTACGCGTGGCCTCCATTATTACCCTGTTTTTTGACCATAAAGATAGATGCATAGCTGACGTAACAAGATTTTGCCACCATTTCCACCAACTTTGTATAGCGTAAGCTACGCCATGATGTTCATACATGAACCCCACAAAGATACCACGGATCTAGTGAGACATAATCTAAGGCTTTGTTTGGAAGATCCCAGAATAATTTCTGATATTTAGAGCCTGTTTGATGTTGTTT